CTTCTGACTGAAGGGGCAATACCATTAAACTACATTTTTATATGACATTTTTTTGGCAAATCAAAATTTAAAAAAATCGTAACTAAGCCAAAAATGCATTAATTTCAATTCGGAAAGCGGTCTTATGTTAATTTTTAGCAGGTTAATAAAACTGCCTAAGATTTATAGGGTCGGAAGTGACTCCTTCACTTTCTTTTAAGCTTCTGACTGAAGGTGCAATACCATTTTTTAGTCGGAATTAACTATATTTTTATATGCAAATTTTACGACAAATCAAAATTTAAAAATCTCATAACTAAGCCAAAAATGCATTAATTTCAATTCGGAAAGCGGTCTTATGTAAATTTTAGCAGGTTAATAAAACTGCCTAAAATTTATAGGGTCGGAAATGACTCCTTCACTTTCTTTTAAGCTTCTGACTGAAGGTGCAATACCATTTTTTAGTCGGAATTAACTATATTTTTATATGCAAATTTTACGACAAATCAAAATTTAAAAATCTCATAACTAAGCCAAAAATGCATTAAGTTCAATTCGGAAAGCGGTCGTATGTTCAGTTTTAGCAGAATAATTAAACTGCATACTCCATTTCAAATGTGAATTTTTGGCGAATTTCGCAAATTTCATGATGTAACCCCTTTCACTTTTTCAGAAAATAGGAAATTTCTAAAAAAATTTTTTTAGTCCGGATATAGCTGAAAAGATTCTCCTGGTGATGCCGATCAAGAATATATATGATTTATAGGGTCGGAAATGACTCCTTCACTTTCTTTTAAGCTTCTGACTGAAGGTGCAATACCATTTTTTAGTCGGAATTAACTATATTTTTATATGCAAATTTTACGACAAATCAAAATTTAAAAATCTCATAACTAAGCCAAATATGCATTAATTTTAATTCGGAAAGCTGTCTTATGTTAATTTTTAGCAGGTTAATAAAACTGCCTAAGATTTATAGGGTCGGAAGTGACTCCTTCACTTTCTTTTAAGCTTCTGACTGAAGGTGCAAACCATTTTTTAGTCGGAATTAACTATATTTTTATATGCAAATTTTACGACAAATCAAAATTTAAAAATATCATAACTGAGCCAAAAATGCATTAATTTCAATTCGGAAAGCGGTCTTATGTTAATTTTTAGCAGGTTAATAAAACTGCCTAGGATTTATAGGGTCGGAAGTGACTCCTTCACTTTCTTTTAAGCTTCTGACTGAAGGTGCAATACCATTTTTTAGTCGGAATAACCTATATTTTTATATGCAAATTTTACGACAAATCAAAATTTAAAAATATCATAACTGAGCCAAAAATGCATTAATTTCAATTCAGAAAGCAGTCGTATGTTCAGTTTTAGCAGGATAATTAAACTGCATACTCCATTTAAAATGTGAATTTTTGGCGAATTTCGCAAATTTCATGATGTAACCCCTTTCACTTTTTCAGAAAATAGGAAATTTCTAAAAAAATTTTTTTAGTCCGGATATAGCTGAAAAGATTCTCCTGGTGATGCCGATCAAGAATATATATGATTTATAGGGTCGGAAATGACTCCTTCACTTTCTTTTAAGCTTCTGACTGAAGGTGCAATACCATTAAACTACATTTTTATATGACATTTTTTTGGCAAATCAAAATTTAAAAAAATCGTAACTAAGCCAAAAATGCATTAATTTCAATTCGGAAAGCGGTCTTATGTTAATTTTTAGCAGGTTAATAAAACTGCCTAAGATTTATAGGGTCGGAAGTGACTCCTTCACTTTCTTTTAAGCTTCTGACTGAAGGTGCAATACCATTTTTTAGTCGGAATTAACTATATTTTTCTATGCAAATTTTACGACAAATCAAAATTTAAAAATCTCATAACTAAGCCAAATAAGCATAAATTTCAATTCGGAAAGCGGTCTTATGTAAATTTTTAGCAGGTTAATAAAACTGCCTAAGATTTATAGGGTCGGAAGTGACTCCTTCACTTTCTTTTAAGCTTCTGACTGAAGGTGCAATACCATTTTTTGTCGGAATAACCTATATTTTTATATGCAAATTTTACGACAAATCAAAATTTAAAAATCTCATAACTGAGCCAAAAATGCATTAATTTCAATTCGGAAAGCGGTCGTATGTTCAGTTTTAGCAGGATAATTAAACTGCATACTCCATTTAAAATGTGAATTTTTGGCCGATTTTCGCAAATTTTCATGATGTAACCCCTTTCACTTTTTCAGAAAATAGGAAATTTCTAAAAAAATTTTTTTAGTCCGGATATAGCTGAAAAGATTCTCCTGGTGATGCCGATCAAGAATATATATGATTTATAGGGTCGGAAATGACTCCTTCACTTTCTTTTAAGCTTCTGACTGAAGGTGCAATACCATTTTTTAGTCGGAATTAACTATATTTTTATATGCAAATTTTACGACAAATCAAAATTTAAAAATCTCATAACTAAGCCAAATATGCATTAATTTTAATTCGGAAAGCTGTCTTATGTTAATTTTTAGCAGGTTAATAAAACTGCCTAAGATTTATAGGGTCGGAAGTGACTCCTTCACTTTCTTTTAAGCTTCTGACTGAAGGTGCAAACCATTTTTTAGTCGGAATTAACTATATTTTTATATGCAAATTTTACGACAAATCAAAATTTAAAAATATCATAACTGAGCCAAAAATGCATTAATTTCAATTCAGAAAGCAGTCGTATGTTCAGTTTTAGCAGGATAATTAAACTGCATACTCCATTTCAAATGTGAATTTTTGGCGAATTTCGCAAATTTTCATGATGTAACCCCTTTCATTTTTTTCAGAAAATGGGAAATTTCTGAAAAAAATTTTTTTCGCCCGGATGTAGATAGAAAGATTCGCCTGTTGATGCTGATCAAGAATATATATGATTTATAGGGTCGGAAGTGACTCCTTCACTTTCTTTTAAGCTTCTGACTGAAGGTGCAATACCATTTTTTAGTCGGAATTAACTATATTTTTCTATGCAAATTTTACGACAAATCAAAATTTAAAAATCTCATAACTAAGCCAAATATGCATTAATTTTAATTCGGAAAGCTGTCTTATGTTAATTTTTAGCAGGTTAATAAAACTGCCTAAGATTTATAGGGTCGGAAGTGACTCCTTCACTTTCTTTTAAGCTTCTGACTGAAGGTGCAATACCATTTTTTGTCGGAATAACCTATATTTTTATATGCAAATTTTACGACAAATCAAAATTTAAAAATATCATAACTGAGCCAAAAATGCATTAATTTCAATTCAGAAAGCAGTCGTATGTTCAGTTTTAGCAGGATAATTAAACTGCATACTCCATTTAAAATGTGAATTTTTGGCCGATTTTCGCAAATTTTCATGATGTAACCCCTTTCACTTTTTCAGAAAATAGGAAATATCTAAAAAAATTTTTTTAGTCCGGATATAGCTGAAAAGATTCTCCTGGTGATGCCGATCAAGAATATATATGATTTATAGGGTCGGAAATGACTCCTTCACTTTCTTTTAAGCTTCTGACTGAAGGGGCAATACCATTAAACTACATTTTTATATGACATTTTTTTGGCAAATCAAAATTTAAAAAAATCGTAACTAAGCCAAAAATGCATTGATTTCAATTCGGAAAGCGGTCTTATGTTAATTTTTAGCAGGTTAATAAAACTGCCTAAGATTTATAGGGTCGGAAGTGACTCCTTCACTTTCTTTTAAGCTTCTGACTGAAGGTGCAATACCATTTTTTAGTCGGAATTAACTATATTTTTATATGCAAATTTTACGACAAATCAAAATTTAAAAATCTCATAACTAAGCCAAATATGCATTAATTTTAATTCGGAAAGCTGTCTTATGTTAATTTTTAGCAGGTTAATAAAACTGCCTAAGATTTATAGGGTCGGAAGTGACTCCTTCACTTTCTTTTAAGCTTCTGACTGATGGTGCAAACCATTTTTTAGTCGGAATTAACTATATTTTTATATGCAAATTTTACGACAAATCAAAATTTAAAAATCTCATAACTGAGCCAAAAATGCATTAATTTCAATTCGGAAAGCGGTCGTATGTTCAATTTTAGCAGGATAATTAAACTGCATACTCCATTTAAATTGTGAATTTTTCGCCAATTTTCGCAAATTTTCATGATGTAACCCCTTTCATTTTTTTCAGAAAATGGGAAATTTCAGAAAAATTTTTTTAGTCCGGATATAGCTGAAAAGATTCTCCTGTTGATGCCGATCAAGAATATATATGATTTATAGGGTCGAAAATGACTCCTTCACTTTCTTTTAAGCTTCTGACTGAAGGTGCAATACCATTTTTTAGTCGGAATTAACTATATTTTTATATGCAAATTTTACGACAAATCAAAATTTAAAAATCTCATAACTAAGCCAAAAATGCATTAATTTTAATTCGGAAAGCGGTCTTATGTTAATTTTTAGCAGGTTAATAAAACTGCCTAAGATTTATAGGGTCGGAAGTGACTCCTTCACTTTCTTTTAAGCTTCTGACTGAAGGTGCAATACCATTTTTTAGTCGGAATTAACTATATTTTTATATGCAAATTTTACGACAAATCAAAATTTAAAAATCTCATAACTAAGCCAAAATGCATTAATTTCAATTCGGAAAGCGGTCGTATGTTCAGTTTTAGCAGGATAATTAAACTGCATACTCTATTTAAAATGTGAATTTTCATTTAAAATTGAACAAATGTTGCCAATTTTTGACAATTTTTAGCAATTTTAACTATGTAACCCCTTATAAAATTTGGAAAAAGTTGGCAAAAGATTATTATTATTATTTTATTATTGTATTCTTAAAATACAAAAACTAAGTACAAAAGGCGGTAATTTTAATTCAGAAAGCTTTCTTGTGTTGTAAATTTTCTGTTAACTTTTCATTAATTGAGTACACTTTTTAATTAAATTTTTTTGTTCAATATTTTACTAATTTTATTGATTTCAATGGCGATGCTAAATAAATATGACTTATTTTTCTTATGATTGTCAATTTAATAAATAAAAAAATTCCACAAACATTTCCTATTTAGCATTCTAAGCATTCAGCAGCTTATTGGCAACGTTGCACTCGGAGTTCTCCAGGATATTCCCGCAGCAGGACCAGTGCCGCCGACCGGGATGGCCAGCATGTCCATGCCCACAGCCACTGTAACCCGGCATGCGCCCCTCGCATGAGCACTTGACACTTCGACTGCCCCTACCCGAGCAGAAGGAGCAGCAGTGATAGATCCCAGTGTGCGGACGCACTTGTCGCGCCTGAAAGGTAAAGGGGCTGCCCTTGATGGGACGCTCATTAATCGTGATTGTCAGAATCAACGATCCCTGGGCGTCAGGCGTAAAGAAGATGTTGTAGGTGCCATCACGGTTGTCTGATACTTCGACGGGCAGGAACTTTGAGTTAGAATCCTTATACTTGATCATGCAGTTGATCTCCAAACCTCCATGGCAAAGCGAAACACCATCGGCGTCCCTGGAGTGCAGCAAGAGATCTGCCTTTTTGTGGAGGCGCAGCTGGGAGAAGCCCTCCCATTGCAGGGTGCACAGACCGGGCTCCACCACCTGCATGGTGATGATACCATACAAGGGGATATCTCGCTGATCCTTGGTCGAAGGAGCTCGGATTTTGGGAAGGAAATGGAGTGAATCAGAGATCTGGAAAGAGTATTAGAATATTATAAAAATAACTATGAAGAGGAATTATTTCTCCAACCTTGGGATCCACTGGCGGCTTGAACTGCTGGCAGAACTCCAAGCGCCTCAGCAGGATGCCAACAAAACTCAGGATCTCAACGTCAGCGCCAATTTCGAACAGCTCCTGACTGAAACGCACTGCCTCCATGGCCTGCTGCGTGCGTTTCTCTATAAATTTTCAGAATGTAGACTTAACTAAAACCCAAGCTTCAAGCTTACCCAAGTCCAACTGCTGCTTGAGTACAACCTCGACCTTGGACTCTCTGGCCCTGCTGATCTGCTGCAGCAGAGTCCTCCTATGTACATCCAAGGCCTGCATGTAGCTCTGCATATACCGCTCCACCTGGCTCTGTATATCATCGCACCTGGCATTGATTCCTCGCGCGATCTCGTTTAATCTCTCTATGGAATGCTCTGCATATTGGCACAGAGGACGCGTCTGATCCGTAGCTTCCCTTAACTGTTTTCCCTGGTGAACAATGGCGCGCTGTATGGTCTCATGCCGATGGCCCTTATGGAGCAACACTAGGCAATCCGTGCAGGCCAACTGCCGGCATAGAGTGCAAAAGGCCTTGAGCTCGAAGTTGGTGTGGATGCCGCAGCGCAGGACCAGCTTGCTGCTATCCCCCAAGCCAAGTTGCTGCTGCTTCTGCTTCCGGGCTCGTCTCAATTCGAGGATGCTGCGCATCCGGTGATTGGCTGTGCTTCGTTGGCGCTCGTGTGCTTCCTTGCACAGAGTGCAGAGGTTCAGGGTGCAGCTGATGCAGTGATAAGTCGCCTGGTTAGGGATGAATTTCAATTATTCTATATATGTTTTCTACGGAGGAGGACCTACACTGATCTCCTCGGTGCACAGGGAGCACCAGACTCTCGCAATCACATCCTCTCCCGCCTGTAAGCGCAGCAACTCGATCCTTCTAACCAACAGATAGTTCTGAGGCAACTGACGCACTCCGCCCAAGGGGAGATCCGTGGGATAGTTGCAGCTGTGACAACGAATGCAGCGGCTGGCCACTTCGCTAACAAAACTGCCCGTCATCCGAGTGCCAAAGGAGCTTGTCGTCGAGCGCTTGCCCTCGCTCTTGGACTGAAAAAAATGATCTTAGAATCTTTCTACTATCGTGAGTTTATAATCTTACCCGAATCACCAGGCGGTCCATGGACTTCTTTCTCCTAAGGCTTAAGCTAGCTCCTCGCTGTCTAGCTGGGGAAACAGTCGCCGTGAGCTCCAGGCTGGAACCACCTCCCATCTCCGACCGCAAGCTATAGCTGGAGGGATCGTCGCTGCGAGCCTGGTCCATTGGATCCCACATAGACTCCTCCTTGAAATTTTCACTAACCAGGCACTGCAGGCAGAAGGAGTGTAGGCAGTGCAGGGTCCTAGGATCGGTGTACACATCCAGACAGATGCCGCACTTCAGGTCGTCTGTAAAGGTCACCGTGTTCTCCGGCGGCGTACTCGGTCTCAAGGTGATGCTGGGCGAAGGCGAAGGGATTCCTCCGGGCGACGGACTCCTGACCAGTGGCGATGGCGCATCAAATATCTCTGGCCTTGGCGTAGCGTCCAAAAGGAGTCGCGGGAGCATTTCCAGCTTAGGTTGAACAGTGTCCGGCGTTGGAGGTGAAATTCTAAGCTCAGGAGATGCCTTCAAGCTCAGCAAGCGCTTCGGATGCAGCTGCTGCTGCTCCTTGGGCCTGATGGTCTGTGCCACTGTGGCATTGCTGGCCTGGCTGCTGCTGCTGCTGCACTGCACGGACACAGACGAGGCAGCACTAAGAATATTATCCAGCAAGGACTCCGGAGAGGTGGAACTACCACCACCGGCCAGGCTGCTGCTGGGTTCACTGCCACTGCCACTGTCCTGCGTTTGTGCAAGGGGATCCTCGGTGGTGGGCAGCGCTGTTGAAATGTTAGCTTGCCCCAAAGTCCGGGAGCGTCGAATGGAATGGGTAAATCCCAAGACTGGCAGCTTTGGTATGATGTTTGACGAGGCTACCTCTGACTCCGAGGTCTCTCCCTTCGGTGCAATGGTAAATGTAAATAGTTGCGGAGCTGACTTTCGACGCACTGCGTCCGTGGAGGAGGCTGTCGCCTCTAGATTCTTCTGTGGAGCCTGCGTGGTCTTCCGCAGCATGATCTTGGCCGAGCTCAGCTTCAACTTGAGCTTGGCCTGGCCACCCAAGGGAGGTGGAGGAGCAACCGGCGGAGGTGCAATCACCTCGACATCCCCCTGGATGTGTTTATAATCGATGGGCTGGCTCTTATTCTGGCTACCGATACTCGTCTTTCGCTTGAATGCTATCCTGGAGGGGCTGGCCTTGTTGCTCATTATGTTGCCAGCTTATGCAACAATCTCATCCAGCTCGGATCTTGGGGACAGCGGACCACGGAGCTCCCTCGCGTTGCAATTGGCACTGCAACTAAGACTGGGCTCTCGAACTAGCTGTTTGCGTCTAATCCAATTAGATTTCACCAATGGCGGAGAAGTGGTAAAAGTCTGACACTGACAATTGTGCAATTATCTGTTGTGGTTGCTCATTCTAAATAGTAGTTATTGATTGCCTCTCCTACCATCCATTCACCAGAATGATAAACAAATGACAGTAAAGTTCTATGGATTTATTTTGAGTATCATTTTTATTTAACTTTGTTTTAAAATATGAAATAAATTTTTGCTTTACCGACATTCTGGACTTCTGCTCATAATTTTTTATATATTTTAGGAATTCGCAGTTTACCAGTTTACTGGTCCCATTTATTATGATTGAGGGAATATTCAGAAGTATATAATTGCGGAAGCCTTAAAAATTTAAATTTTGTTTCAAAATGTATAAATTTTATTTTTTTTATATAAAATGTCAATTTTTTAATGCGGATTTTTTAAGCTTAGGTATGATCGATTTCAGATTCGTGCCTATAATTCGATTGCAAAACATACTTGCATTTTCAGTTTCTCAAAGTTAGTTTTCTTTTCGTTTAAATTTATATTCTACAGACTGTTTTTATGTTTAGTCTAGACTAGCCTGAAACTTTAATAGCTAAACTTTTTAAAAAATGCTAATTCAGTTAGCTTAATATACCTGTTTTCGCTGACCTGCAATATGCTGACATTAATTGTTAATATGATATAACATTTGTATCACATTTTATATCATTGATGCCAAAAGCCTGTTCTAATATTAATATTATTTTGTTCATATTAATAAAATATACATATTAAAAAGTTGTTTATAATATTTTCCTCTATACATGGCATATTCCCGCTTAAGTTCCGTTATTCGCGCCATTCGTTAACCGATCGAACGGTCAAGACTCCCCTGACATAATCTACCAAAGATTACAACAACCAAAGCTCACTCTCTTTTTGTCGCACCACCTCTTAACCACTCTCTGCTTCTCTCTCTTCACCTATCCCACTGTTACACTCTTACTCTCTCTTACTCTCTCCTCCCGCAGGCAAATCATATGGGTGGGAGAAGAAGCTTTTATACCCCGTAATCGTAAACTGTAAGGTGATGTTGGGTTCGTTAAAGGGTGGTTATTCAAAATAAAACAATAAGAAAAATAAAAACAAACAAAAATATTAAAAGAATAAGAATATTGTAAGTGAAAGACTTTGAGCTAATTCTTCAAAAGCCTATATAGGCCACTTTAAATTCTAATAATAATAGGTATAATTAGGAAATAATTCAAAAATGCGCAGTGAGTTTAAATTTCCCATCGGTAACAACTTACCAAAAGGGGTATCTCTTAGTCGGCACACTCCACAGTAGGTTTCCCCTTGATTTCAGTCGAGCAGCTGGTGCTGGCCCAGTGCCTGGTATATTTGCGGCTCGCTCACACTCATCAGTTGGGAATCGGTTCGTGTTGTTGGTTCGGTTCGGACGTGGAATATATTTCGCTTTTTTGACTTGAAAGAATCGAATCGCCGCACAGAATACGCCGACAAAACTTTCCTTTCACTCTCGTTTTTCCAGCTCCGCGATTCACATTTTCGAGTTTTGTTTTTTGTTTTGTTTTTGATTACAAGAGTGTCGTGCTTGGAGAGAATTATTTAAAACATAAATTTCTCGATATTGAAAGAAATTCACACAATACAATAAGTTTAGCCAATTTTGTTAGTTTGCTGTTGCTAGCTGTTTATCGAGTTTTGCTTTCATCGCAATATTCGTAAGGGACGCACATTTTCCGATTTGCTTTGCTTTGCTGCTGCTCCAGTTTTGGAAGCCACCCCCGCCTCCGGTCTTTGGTAACACGGAATCGGTGAGTATATTCGCACCTTTCGCCGGTACTAGAATATGCAAAGCTATATGTTTAGTCACTGAGCAGGGAGAGTAGAGGAGGAGGCGGCATCTGAGTTACAAAGTCCAAGTCCAGGGCGATAATGCCCCTCGAGATATTGCGTAAAAGGTTGAAGTCCCAGTCGCCGCACTGAGATTGGATCGGATGGACTAACTCAGTAAACTGGAGCTCTGCAACTTTCTAATGAAATTCATTTTGTAATACAGAGGTAAAGCCTTCCTACACCGAAGATGCTTTTTTTAGCGTTTCCTTGTTTCAAAATCTTTTGTTTTAGAGAGATTTAGAGTTAATAAGATTTTATAATGACCATGATATTTGTTTAATAAGCCACTATTACGCTTAAAAAATATATAAATAATTGATTTGGATATTGGGCTGCCATCTGCTGATAAGACCTGACAATTCTCATGACTCCGCAGGGAGTCCTTTGCTATGGGTTTAGAGGCTAAAGTCTCTCCACCTTGTCAGATTAAACCCGAGGAACATTGATAGGGGAATGACCGAAACATGTGAATGGCGTTGATATAGAACATTTTATTTTGGGTTAATATACAACTAAACGACTTGAGATAATTGTTAATGGCATCACGATAAGCATTACTTTGGAACAGTCTGATCCCGAGCTCAGTTTAGGTTTATTACTCATTGAAGATAACCCACAGCAATAATCTCAGAGACTCAGTTATAAGTTAATTTCGCGCACTTGTTAACACAGATGGCTCCAAGATTGGGAATCTCAGTACCGGTTGTAATAGGTCCCGTTGCCCATATCAAACAACATTTCTTACCCAACTTTACGGCAGAGTCATAAAGATAATTTAAGTTAATGAGGACATAAAGTGCTACACTTTTTAGGGATGCATAATACGGCAACGTTGTAAATATTTGAACATACTTTAATTTAATTTAATTTCGCAATTTGAAATAATACAGTTCTTCCCGTTCAGATGGAATCGATAACCCCTACGGAAAGCTACCGGTTCGGTAGCATCGACTACATTGTCTTCCTGGGCATGGTCGTATTATCCACCGGCACCGGCATCTATTTCGGATGCATTAAGTGAGTCGCCCTTAAACCTTGATCCCGTCCCGATGCTATGCCAACTGAGTTGCGTTAATTATAGGAAGAGCAAGAAGCAGCTTGAGGAGACGGCACCCACATTACCCACCACCAACGGTACGCCACAGAGACGGAAGCATGATTTCGGATCGGAGAAGATGAGCGAGTATCTGCTGGGATCGCGCAATCTGAAAGTATTCCCAGTCGCTATGAGCCTGATAGCCAGGTGCGTTTTGCGATGCATTATAATTCACCCCCTGTAATCACCATCTACTATCTCCCCAGCTATATATCGGGCGTCACGATACTGGGCACCACCTCGGAAATCTACAATTATGGCACGCAATATTGGTTTATAGCCATAGCAATAGTGCTCCAAGGAATTGCCGTCTCCTATGTCTATATACCAGTGTTCGCGGCTCTTCAAGTGGGGTCTTCGTATGAGGTAGGACGTCATCCATAAACTACTTGAAACTGATTTCATTTATTTACAACTATAATTAGTTTATGGCTTTCTGGTCTAAGTATCTTAATTATCGTGCTCTATAATAGAGAAATTGTTAGGTATCTAAGGTAGTTTTCCTGTCCTTTGTATTGTTTTTGATAAGACTCAGATACTACTTTCTTGAATATGTTTACTTCCTGCCCCTTTCACAGCACTCTCTTTCTCTCCTCGTTTGCCAATCAATGGAATCAAACGGATAGCGTAGTGAACATTTTAATTAACTGAGAACCGGCGGAGACCCCTTCCTCAAGTGGAATTTCTTGGACTTTGGTCTCGCCCACTTGTTGCGACATGGAACCGATATGATTAATTACAAAGTATTTTGGTTCGGTTGCCACATGTCAAATGGGTTAGGGGGAATTAGTTGCCAGGAAATTGTAAAGTGACTGTTTTTATTGCCATATCAATATTGATGTTATCAAGCCTGACGTTTTTTTATTTTTCAGTACCTTGAGATGAGATTTCACTCTGTAATAAGAAGCATAGCATCAGTTATGTTCATTCTGGATGAGGTGAGACATTCTTTGTCTGCTAAATCTTTAAGCTTAAAAGTGAAAATAATACGTAACCTTGGCTTCATTACAGATCCTATTTCTTCCGTTTATCGTTTATGTGCCATCTATAGCTCTTAATCAAGGTAAGGCTTTACATATTTGGAATTCTGCTTATTTTATTTAAGTTTCTTGCTAATCTTGAGCTTATCTTTCAGTTTCAGGCATTAATATTCATGTGATTGCAGTAGTGATTGTTATCGTTTGTGTTTTCTACACCTTTGTGGTAAGTTTCACAGGCTTAAACTTTGTCCTTAATAATGTGTAAATGACACTTTTTAGGGAGGAATCAAGGCTGTAGTCCATACGGATGCCTGGCAAACGATGGTCATGTTTCTATCCGTTATGGCCGTGGCCGTCTTGGGCACCTATTATGCCAACGGACTGGACGTCCTGTTCGACGATGCGGCCAAAGGAGGACGGTTGATTTTTAACAATACAAATCCCTCGCCTTATGTTCGTCACACCGTTTGGAGTGTCCTCATCGGTGGCTTCTTCTATTGGACCTCGTTCAATGCTGTGAATCAGACCATGGTGCAGCGGTATATGTCTCTGCCTTCGCTGAAGAAAGCACGTGCTTCGATGGCTATATTTACAATTGGCGTGACGGCCTTTGTCTCCGTTTGTTGTTACGTTGGACTGCTGATCTTTGAGATGTATAAGGACTGTGATCCTCTCAGTGCCGGAATGATTACGGTGAGTCAGTTATATACAATATAATACAGCCGTAGCTTAACCACCATATCATTTCAGCATGATGATCAACTCCTTCCGCTGTTTGTGATGCAGAGTGTGGGTCACATCTACGGAATGGCTGGTTTGTTTATAGCTGGGATATTCGGGGCTGCCTTGAGCTCACTTTCCGTGGTGCTAAACTCAACGTCCCTGGTCATTCTGGAGGATATCGTTCGGGGCTGCTTCAAGATGCAACCCAGTGAGAGGGCCTCTACCATTTTGGTCAAATCCACCATTATTGTGCTTGGCATCGTCGCCCTATCACTGGTCTTTGTCCTGGAGCAGCTGAGCGGAATCTTGAGCATTTGCACTTCAATGACAGCCATCGCAGCTGGAACCACTTTTGGCCTATTTACTCTGGGAATGCTCGTTCCCTGGGCCAATACTGTGGGCACTGCTGTGGGTGGCATTGCCAGTGCCTTGCTCGCCGGTTGGATATCCTTC